GGTAGCAAATGTCTCCAGACTTATGAAGGGTCGGACCCCCGTCAGACTGAACTGATATTCCCAATGACTTACCTATTTGACAGCGAGAGATGTAAAAACATTTACATGATGATTTCTATCATGGCTGCAACCAGACAATAGTAAGATGTACACAAATTATGTAACATAATTTTCAGTATGTTTTTTTTAATTGTTTTGTAATAAAATAATTTATTTATTTAAAAGAAAAACTCAGGGATTTTTTACAGTCATGTCATAATAGCATTGAGTAAGTAGATAGTTTCCACAATCCTCACAAACCTGCACTATTGGGAACTTGAGTTTGTCTTAAAGTGTGATCAACTCAGTTGTGAAACTAGGTTTTATTGTAAGATCTCTCTAGCGAGTGAATTCTAGTAATACCACGGTGGGACAGAACAGTTTGGTAACATTAGGAATACCCTTTCTACTTTGGGTTTATATTAAATGCAGGACATTCAATATATTAAAACATCTGAAACAGGGGCCCTTTGCTAAGACAACAGCAGAATAATCAACGTAACACATGTTACAAATAGCATGCTATCTACAGAGGAATACAAAGACTGCGGATTCTCAGGTTAGCAACACCTTTGTGTCTTAGCACATCTTTTATCCAGAAGAGACTGTGGTTTGATGGCTTTATTTGGCTGATCTCTGCAGCCTGGAGCTTCTGTGCAAGTCTGCTGAAACCTACACATACAGCAGTAGTGCAGCTCTGACTTGTATTTCTTGTTATTTACAACATTTCCCTATTGCCAGTTAAGCCCATTAAGTGTAGAAATTGGGGCAGACCCTGCATGTTCATCCTGTGGGAGGGCTTATTCAGGACTTCCTGTATGGCCCAGAGGAAGTTGTTGTCTTTATCCACTCTGCTTTCCTCACTGTTACACACAGCAGGGCATCGCATTCATTGGCAAACAAATGGCGATCCAAAACTGTGACTCATGGAGTCATGAACTAATTTTCTTCCATGAGCAATAAACTGCTTGGACGACCTTGACGCCCAGAGTAGCCGGCCTATCACTCTTATGACTTTCAGAGGTAATTTGGCAAATGCTGCAGCTATCTGTCTTTTTTTACAACAAGACTTTCACCCACAAAAGTCTCCAGAGTCATATCCACATTCAAGAATTAAGGGACAGCTTTAGGGGCAATGGACCAGAGAGATTTACACACTTAGGCAACTCTCCAGAGCCACAAATACTATTTTACAAGCCTCCAGGTCCAAAGTATTATATCACAGATAAACACACAACCGTTGTTTGACAAATAACTCACCCTCAGCATTAAGAGCGTTTTTAAAACCAGACCTCGGCCAGTTGTTCCTTTATTACGCCAAGGCAAAGATGGCTGCATTTGTCACATACTGAAAGTATATCATGAGCTAAGATTTAATATTTTATATTACACCTCATACTGGTTCAGTTACGATCAGCATCTTTAATGTCGCACTATTAATGAAGTTGCCTGTTCACCCTTCCCCCATGAGGGGACAGTCAAAGATGCAAGAGAAATATCAAAAGGAATGTGTTTCATATCATGTGAGCCCCTCCAGACCATAGCTAGAAGAAATCAGAAATACTATAGAACATTTTTATTCTTAAAACGGTTACATTCATGTGGGAAAAGCCATTTTAGGAGTCATTACCTCAATATATTGACTTCTAGAATGAAATATAAAGGTCAGATGATCAGATTAAAATGAAAGAGGCTCTCCATTAAGATAAATGTATGTATTGTCCCAAAATATTGTACCATATTACAAAATCCTACAGGTAAAAAAACACATTATGGCTTATATAAAGAAAGGATTTAAGCATTTGAAGGCCCAGTTTAGCCCTGGTATGTCACTCTAATCTTTGTGTGTGAAATTGGATGTTTAAATCCACACTTGGCAATCCAGTGTTAGAGTGAATTTGTAACATCTTGGAAATCAGTGGAGCAAAACATGCAAAGGTTATTTCCACTGTGTGCTAATTAAAGAGGATAAACTCATGAGCACTACCCATATTTTGAAAATGCTTTTCATTTCTTCCCTCTAAGGCAGCAATGTTGCAGCACGTTTTGACGACATGTTTGTTTATCAGGGTTTGTGAAATAACAATAGTGTAAGAATATCGTGAAATCAAATATAATCAGCCTTAAATATCTATGTTCTTCTTTGTTTTGATTAAATAAAGCATTATAAAGCACTGAATAATTTAGGCTTGTCTTTTTTACTAGAATCTTCACTAGTTTTTTCAACTAACTATCAATGTTTTTTTTTCCTTTATTCCTATTTAATCACAGTACAAATAATTTCGCCAACATTTTCATGTTTACATGTTGAAATCATATTTCATTGTGATCGCTACTTAAATTTTTTTAAATCACATTTACTTGTTCTTCTCAGACACATGGAGCATAAACACCTTATCAGTGCAGCAAAGGTGCCTAGAGTTATCAGCACAGCTCCACTTAAGAAGAGGATCACATCAACAGAGTGGTAGGAGTACCAGGGCATTCTGTAGGACTCTGTTCTCAGGTGAGCTGCACCTTTGTGTCTCATGACAAACTCTATCCAGAAGAGAGCGGTATCCAGCGGCTTCATTGGCTGATCTCTGTGCAGCCTAGAGAGCCTCTGCATGTTCATCCTGTAGGAGGGCTCATTCAGGACTTCCTGAATACCCTGAAAAAAGATGTCCTCATTTATACTAAAAATATCAATTATCTTCCCTGCTCCTCTTACTTCAATTCTGAACAGATTATCACGCTGATCAAAAATCAATGGAAGCCCTACGATAGGAACACCGTGGTAGATCGCCTCTTGAACACCATTTGTTCCTCCATGAGCCACGAATAGTTTTATCTTGGGATGTCCTAAAAGGTCATTCTGTGGCATCCAATCTACTATCAAAGTGTTGTTGCCCAGAGTGGCTGGTCTGTCACCTTTATATCTCCAGATGACTTTCTGCGGTAATTTAGCAAAAGCTGCAGCGATCTCATCAGCTAGGTCATGGGGAAGCTCTCCAATCAAAGTCCCCAGAGACATGATGATGACTCCATGCTCTCCAGAACTCTGCACAAACTCCTCCAAGTGTTCGGGAAGATGTTTTGCAGGTTTACACTGGAACCCTCCCATATAGATAACATTAGGCATGGTGGGACGAGGGAACTCAAACACAAAGTCCACTCTCATGAGCCACAGGTCTGCTGCTTGAAACAGGGATATGAAGTCTCTATCTGGACCTATGTATTTATCAATTAAGCTGACATAATTTGGTAAAACATACTGTGCAATTTGATATTTTGTGAAGCCAAAAATGATAACATTAAGAAGTCTCTCAAGAAAGCTCATTTTATCTGAAAGCTCGGTCCCTGTCATTGGAACATAAGACACAGGAGAAGGCGCAATTGAAAAATGGCCTTCACCGTGACTAGTCCATCTGACATTGAAAACAAGAGGCAACCTGAGGTAGTGGGCAAGTATAACACCCCCTGGTATAGCAGGGTCTGTAAGGACGAGGTCATAATTGGCATCCCGTAGCAACCGTATAAGTTCTTTGTTTTCAAAAAGCAGCTCAAGCATTTTGCATGTTTTCTCATGCAGCTGAGAGGTCTGTTGTGCTTGTTCCATTTCCAGTTTAAAACGTGTCCAGGCAGACTTCCCTTCCCTCTGGATTTCCAGCAACTGGGTCACAAAAGTACTTATAAAGTCTTCATCAAATCCAGATTCCGTATCGAGCGTGATTGAAGTATAGAATGGCGAGGTTTCCTTGATGTACCAACTGTCTGTCGATCGCACAACAGAAACCTGGTGGCCCCTTGAATGTAGTTCCTCAATGATGACTTTCATGTTCACCCAGTGGCTTCCGTCCAATGGAAAAACAAGAACCTTCCCACCATAAATCACAGGCGGACAGAGCAAGCAGAGAGCGATCCAGACCCAGGAAGGATGCATTTTTTTCTGAAGTTGGGAAGGAAACATATTGCTTCTTAGCAAATGCATATTTTTTTATATTTTTATCAAACCACTACAATCAATGAATTATACTGAATAAGGTTTACTTCAGTGTCAATGAAAATATTTAATCTTTAAAAAGTTTTAAATTGTCATCATTTATTTTCCTTTAATCATTTTGGAGTATGAGTAGCCTGTTGCATTTAGTTTCATCACGGAAAACTGTGAACTGTTGCATGTCAGTTAAAAATGTACTTTTGGAAAAACTATTTCAAATAGATAGCCATCAGTCATATTGGCAAAATATTAAAACATATTACCTTATTGGCATCCAATGTGTTTTATTCAATATTCTCCTTTACAAGAGAGCAGAACACTGGCTAGTGCTTTCTGGCTCCAGCCTGAGCAGGACTTTGGTACACATCAGTGTTATGTTCTTAAACACACAGGTGATAAGAAAGTGCAAAGGGGAGGGAAAGCTGTCCAAGGTGTTGAACTCTTAAGCAATTAGCAGTAACACGACAAATTATTGAAAACTAAATAACTGAATAAAGCCGGATTATGTTCCTGTGTGTCAACTGTTTAGTCATGTAAAAGGTTTCGATTGTGATAACATGTCAATATAAATTGTTTTGTTGCAATTCCATAACTCAGGCCCCTATACAAATCTATAGCAACATGCTGTGATGATGTGACCAGCTAGTTTTGCTATGTGGCCTACAATGCACTGGTGTGTGTTCTTTTGACTTCTGAAAAATGTCATATTTTAATAGCTTGTATTTTACTTTAACAGGATAGGGAAATACTGTAAATGGCTAAACACCATCACCTGCTGGCTGGGAAAGGTATCGACAAATCCTAATTATTTTTAAACACACCTATTCATCAAACCTAGAGGTTTGCCATTCTTTGGGGCAAACCTAAGCTGGTTCAGGAAAAAAAAATAAGAAATAAAAGTACATTTAACTAGTCCAGTTTTACAGTCAGCTTGTTTTATTAACAATGGGAACTGCTATTTTCAGAAATCCTTCCTTTAACAATGTGATTTTAGCATAATGTAGTACACAGTAAAACAGAGTATAGAAGAGTTGGAATTTGTAACTTGGTTCATGCCATCCAGCTACTGTACTCGTCAATGGTAGTTTGCATTTGCTGTGGGTTCTCAGACTTTCACTTTGTTAGAAACACAAGTAAATGTGTACACAGGTGCTTACATATCAACAAAAATGACTTGTAATCACACAGACTTTGCTCTTGCAAGTTGCCTGTCAAACTGGTTATGACATTTAATTTCTTTACTGTACACATTTCTTTTCGAAACTTTGAGTAACATTTCAGGGAAAACATCTATTCCTTTCAATATTCAACTGATCACAGCTGTATTAGCTGTCACATAGCAAAATATGAACTAATGTGAAAATGATCATTCCTTTTTTCCTGTTTAGTCAGATTTGACTTTTCTTTTACAACACAATCTAAAGCATGACCATACTAACCCAGCAACAATTAACAAAACAAATAGTGCAACTGTTAGTAACAACAGCATCACATCAACAGAGTGGTAGGAGTACCAGGGCATTCTGTAGGACTCTGTTCTCAGGTGAGCTGCACCTTTGTGTCTCATGACAAACTCCATCCAGAAGAGAGCGGTATCCAGCGGCTTCATTGGCTGATCTCTGTGCAGCCTGGAGAGCCTCTGCATGTTCATCTTGTAGGAGGGCTCAATCAGGACTTCCTGTACGGCATTCCGAAATGTTTTCCTGTCCAATTCAGAAACATCCATAACCACTGCAACTCCCTTTGCTCTTAGTCTGGAGAGGTTGTCGGCTTGATCGAACACAATGGGAATTCCTACAATTGGCACTCCATGATATATGGCCTCATATATTCCATTTGTTCCTCCATGATTTACAAACAGTTTCATATTTCTATGTCCCAGGAGGTCATTCTGTGGCATCCAGTCTACTAGTAAAGTGTTGTTGCCCAGAGTCGCTGGTCTGTCACCTTTATATCTCCAGATGACTTTCTGGGGTAATTTAGCAAAAGCTGCAGCAATCTCATCAGCTAGGTCATGGGGAAGCTCTCCAATCAAAGTTCCTAGAGACATGATGGTGACTCCGTGCTCTCCAGAGCTCTGCACAAACTCCTCCAAGTGTTCAGGAAGTGGTTTTGCAGGTTTACACTGGAACCCTCCCATATAGACAACATTAGGCATGGTGGGACGAGGGAACTCAAACACAAAGTCCACTCTCATCAGCCACAGGTCTGCTGCTTGAAACAGGGAGAAGTAGTCTACATCTGGACCAAAGTAGCGCCTGGACAATGCAGAATAATGTGGGCTAACTATCTGCTTGTACAGATGCATCCTCATGGTGTAAAAAACAACGTTTTTCACCCTCTGAAATAAAGTCATTTGATCTGTTAATTCTGAAGGTGGAAGTGGGACGTAGGAAAGGGGAGAGGGTGCAATAGCAAAATGGGCTTCACCATGAACAGTCCATCGAGCATTAAACATTAATGGCAGTCCGAGATAGTGAGCCAGCATTACTCCTCCTCCGTTAGCAGGATCCGTCAAAACCGCATCATACTTGGTATCTTGAAAGGACTTCATCAACTCTTTATTTTCAAATAGGTACGTAACCACTTCACAGACTTTCTTGTGTAATTCAAAGAACTTGTCCTTTAACTCCATGTCTAAAGCAAAACGGGCCCACGCTGATGCCTTGCTTCGTTTAATCTTAATAACTTCAGCGACAAAGAGACGAAAAAAGTCCTCATTTGCACCGCCGGCAATACCCACTGTGACAGTGTTGTAATGTGGAGACGTTTCACTGATGTACCAGCTGTCTGCAGGTCGAATGACAGTCACAGTGTGGCCCCTTGAATGCAGCTCCTCAACAAGTACCCTCATGTTCACCCAGTGGCTGCCGTCATGTGGAAATACCAGAACCTTCCCACCGTGGGCAGCTGGAATGATGCCAGCCAAAAGAGAGATGATGGAAGCCAAATACAAAAACATCTTGAAATCGTCTCAAACTGTGCTGTCTGAAATACAAGAACAGAAAAAAAAAGCAAAAGCTGCTACTTTAGTATTTCAGGAAATGTACGCACAAAGGCGTATGATGCATGAGAATGTCCACAAAAGTGACGTTCCTTTCTACAGTGACGTTCCTTTCAATTGTCTCTCTATTTGAGTGGATGCTTCTATTTGTGACAGCCCTCATGTGGATGTAGCACATGGAGCCTCTCTCGGGAAATTAGAGTGCTGTTTGGTGCCAAGTGCCCCGCATGTATTTTGTGTTGAACCCCAATCTCCCTGAGCAGAAGTGTTTTTACAACTGGAACTGTACATTCTGCAGAAATATTATGAGAGTTTCCATCCAGCAAACACATAATCCCTGTGTAACAAATCCCCTGCACCCATTGATCAAATGTCTAACAATTGACTTGATTCAATAACATTAGCTGCAAAAGCTAGAAACAAATGTTTTCCTCTCAGTACTGAAATGCTGGTTAACACACTCTCGACAAAGATCACTAACTCTTTTCTCATGAACCAAAATCTTTAAATGTCAAGATTACAGAGAAAACTTTACCAGCACTCTTGTAAACAATGTCTCTCACTGGTTAAGACCCAAACAAAACAAAGCAGAACAGTGAGGAAATTTAAGTCGCATTAGTGTGGCTACTATAAAACACTTCCTGCTTTCTTTTGTCCCACCCACACAACAGTTGCAAAAGATTCTTGTCCCTTAAGCTTAGTCATCATGGTGCAATAAGCCAGTACTGCAGTGTTGCAGGAAAGTGTTACTCTATATGCATGTGGTCTAGATTACTTCATATTTTTACCTTTCAGACAGTCATGGCACCTTATTCTTTTAAAATGCAGTGGCCTTGTGTGTTAGAACTGTTTTTTTGCTGCAAGATTTGAACCCCTTAAAAGATGCAACTTGTAAGATCTTGCCACATGCTCCAAACAAATAGGGGCAGCATTTCACCTCTACGACTGAATCCATAGAATCTAAAATAACTGTCATTTGGTTATAAAAACAGAAACAAACTAAAAACTAACCAACAGCAGGACAAGAATATGCATAATTCTAACATACTGCTTAAAGTTCCAACAGCCTGTCAAAATAACAAAGCTATCTTATGATCTTCACATGTGGCGTCGAGTCACAGCGGCCTGGGGGAACGCTTGGTCTCAAAGTTTGCTGATCCAGAACTGAAGATCCATCTCCAGGACCTAAAGAGACCCTATACCTTCAATGTGATTGGCAAGTCATCAGGGCACACCTATTTCTTCATCCTCTCATATTGGACTGAGTGGAGACTGGACGCTACAGTGACTCACCATCCTCTCTGGAGGCTGAAGTGGGATTACAAGACAGTTCGGGACGGGGATAGCATGCTCCATTCAGTCAACCCTGTCCCCTACAAAATTACATTCTCATGCAACTATTTTCCAACAACTACATTTTGGGGGAAACGCATTTTCTCCCAGATTATGGGTGCAGTTTTATACATTCAAAACTGAAATATAAAAACTGCAAACTGGTTATGTTTAGGCAACAAAAGTACAGAAACAGCAGCCCTGTGTTTTTGGCCCCATCCAGCACCTTGGCCTCCTCCATAGGTGGACTTTCGCAGGATCATTAAAAACATATTTGTGATACTTCAATTGCAAATGTAATCCATGACAAAATATGTTTCCCCCAAACGTAATTCACAAAGCAGTTTTGTTGTAATGTAATGTTTAGGAGACAGGGATGTTTTTTTAGTTGATTTCTTGGTAACACAATACATAGACATCTTTTACACAGTGCACCTTTAAACAACATTTTATATCAGCACCACAACAGTATCATTTGGATGATACACTAACTGATTGAGCAGTTTAACAACATTTTCTACGACACAAAGTGTGACATTTGTGCAAAAAACAAGACCCCTCCCTTGGTAGTGTTGTTGAATGCCAGTAGTTCAATGTATAATGCATGATACTACATGCATTATATATATATAGTATATCAAACTCCCTCGGTAGTTGCACAGAAATGTATAACAAATTTCTTACATACATTTTCTGATGCACATAAAAATGCATGGACCTGATTTTGAAAACGCTGAACTTTATCTTTTCATAAGCCCTTTCATCAGGCCTTAGATATTTTACATTTTTTTCAATACAGCAGTTATGCTCCATATAAGAAAATATATACAAATCTTATGGCACGAAGCAGGAAACAAATCTACAAATCCTAAACATACATCAAAACCTTCTTGGCTTTGCTAAACTTCTGCTTCATACTGTGTTGAGGAAGGACTATGAAGGGCTGTATACAAACCCGTGACACTGATAAACCACTTCCTATTTTACTTGTTTTGTCTCACCCCTGACGACAGTTCTGCTGAACCAAATAACATTGAATTATTGTCTCTTTAAGAGACATTCAGACTCTTAGTGTAATGAGGCAAAACTCCAAAATAATCTATAGTAAACGTTTCCTTAACATGGTGATACTGACATTAGACATTATTATAGAAGTGAAATAATCTGAAACTACAAGACAACATTAACAAGCTGTAAAACTAACACAGATTAATATAACTCAGTCAGCTGAATCTTAAATCTAAGGTCAAAACACTGACAAAGTGTACGCTTTGATCTAAGATTACCTCATCTTGAGCTTTGGACCGGTAAAAAGAAGCAGGCACTGATCACGCCTATAATCATGATGCACGCACAGACCTGTGCACACACTTAAGGTTGAGACTCCACCTCTTGGGAAACATGTTTATTGTAGGAAGTCAAACATACTATCATGAAAAACCTGTATAACAGAGTGTACCTTTTATCTACCCTTATAAAGCCACTCAAAGGCTGCTGCTGTGAGACTTTGCAGAGAAATAGATTTATTGTATGGTTCGTTACAGCTTCGCCATTCGTTGATCCAGTATTCTCAAATGCTTCCCCTGTCAGATGTTCCACGAATAGTACAAACCATAAAATGGCAGGAGGTGTTAAAAAACAGAATACTTGTCACACAACACAAAGCAGCAACGCCTGAAGCTGAATGCAATGACCTCCTTACACCTACATCGGTTGTGTAAACAACAAAAAAAGATGCACCACCTGGTGGCTGGAGGTGTGAAACTCAAACTGGCTCATGACACAGAGCAAAAATGAAATAATGAACGAGTCAGAAAACACAGTTTAGCTTCTCCAGGATGAATCAGAGCCCGCCAAATCTACTCAGTGACTTGTTTTTCATAGAGCTGCATTTAGCAATAGTAAGCTAGGACAACTTAGATAAGGTGGTTTTAACTCCAACTTTTGTTTTTCTTTGTTCCTACCAGCCCCTGCTATCTCATAATCCCTAAAGACATAGGAACACTTCAACCATTGACCTTGAACAAAAGGTAAAATACAGAAATATCCCCACTGCGACTAATCAAATAAAACTTGATTCATATTATTTCCTAGTATTTTACTTGTCGTGTTCATTATGAAAAAGGTTACAACACCAATTTAGTTTGTACACATACTTTATTAAAATATGATCGAGCAAGTTCAAATAACAAAATAATGCCATTACTGTTAAAACGCTGCATAAATGGGCCGTCAAAAAAATCTCTTATACAAGCCCCAAGGTCTATATTTACAGATAGAAAGCGTATATATCCCTTGAATGATTAGTCACGTTTCACTTTATATTTACACACTGCAGTGTATAAACACCTGATGAAAATGAAAATAGTTAGAAGCACGAGCAGCCCAGCTCCAGCCAGGAACAGAACCACATCAACAGAGTGGTAGGAGTACCAGGGCATTCTGTAG